AGATATCCAGGTATCCAGGTTTATATATTCCTTACAGATATCCAGGTATCCAGGTTTATATATTCCTTTCAGATATCCAGGTATCCAGGTTTATATCCTTGGATATATTCAGGTTTACATTTTTATATCTTCATTGCTAAAGGATAATATAGTAATATACCTAAAGAGAAATATTCCCTGTAAGGACCTTTAAGTCCTTGTTTGTCCCTAATATTGCTCTTTTTTATGTACAAAACCACTGCTGTAATATATTCGTGCATTTCTGTAAATAAACATGTTGACCACTCAACATCAATACAAGGATACAAACCTATATTAAAAAAGTTGTACACTTTAAGCACATTTTTGTGTCAACTCACAGTCACATGACCCTCAGGGAAGGTTTAGAGACGATCAAATTCGACAAATTTTGCGATTTACAATAAAAAATGACAGCATGAAAAGCAATGAAAAACCGAAGCTTAGTAATTTACATTCCAATTGATGCTTACTTTTTTTTCTAATCCAATTACTTAGAACGCAGAATATTTTTTGATAAAAAACTAACAAAAGTTTTTTTCAGCATTCCAACAACTTGATTGCTAAACCAGAGTTTATTCAAATCCTTGAAGAAAACATAACAGGTACGATTAAAGAATTTAAAAATTTGATTTTCAAAAAAAGTTTTTCAAATTCTATGTGATCTCAAAATAAATGTGTCTTAAAAATTTATGATGTTTCATAAAGTGCAGTGGCCGGGCTTTGTACCAATACAATGAAGATGATTTTTCTAATTTTCTATTTAACTTTTGAATTTTATTTCTACCAAGCATTTTTTAAATTACAAGTTTACAAGTAAACAAAGAGAAGCTGTTAATGGACAGCTTCTCTTTGTTAATTGACAGCTGTTAATTGACAGCTTCTCTTTTTTCCGTTTTATGTGTATCCATTCTGTTTAAAATTCGTAGGCTTTGTATTGATATATATATATGAAATTATACATAACTAGCTGAAGGGCCCGGCGTTGCCCGTGGAAAAAAAAATGAAAAAAAAGTTTGAATTGTTTAGCCTATAACACCCCCGGCTACCCATGAGTGTCCACATACAATTTCAGCCCACTCGGTCCAGCCGTTTGGCTGGCTATAGGCAACATATATATACGAATGTCTTGTTTTATTATATAGATGATGAGTAATTTCTTATATTTTTAGAGCTTGAATTTGTAATCTTTCCAACATTTTCTCGTTCTATATTATAAAAAATCCAAAATTAAGCTGTTACTATCATATATTCAATTTTCAAATAGAAAGAAAGAATGAAAATCGTTGTGAATTTATTTATGTCACTCTTTACCTGGAGAACGGGGTTCGTAAAGTTCTCTGTAATGTCCTTTGAAATATTGTATTTTCAGATTTGACGGATATAGTGCAGACTCTAGGATTAGAATCTCATCAATCAAAAGAATTTCAAATTTTTAAACAAGCTTCTGTTGCCCTTGCCAGTGCCAAGGATATTCTCCTATTTGCCACAATGTTGCCCTAAGAGGTTCTTAGTGTGAAACCATTGCCACTGCAAAGAAAATATATCATATATCTTTGCCACAATATTACCCTAAGTGGTTACAAGTGTGAAAGTATAACATATAGTTTTGCCACAATATTACCCTAAGTGGTTACAAGTGTGAAAGTATAACATATAGCTTTGCCACAATATTACCCTAAGTGGTTACAAGTGTGAAACCATTGCCAGTGCCAAAGAGCATATTACTTTGTCACAATGTCAAAATTAAAACCATGGTCATGTCAAAAGATAACTTTACCCTAAGTGGTTCCATGTGGGAAACCTTTACCAGTGCCAAAGAACATCTTAATTCTTTGTCACAATGTCAAGACATAAGATAACTTAAAACGCTGCCATATAATTGCTCCAAGTGGGTTGCTATTGCAAAGACTATTATACTGCTTGGAAGTGCTTTCATAATGTTTTTCTTCTCTTTACATTAAAAAACAACAATTTTCCTACTTTTATTGACGAAGTTTTTTTGGAGTAATATCTTTGATTTCTGACTGCATTGGCAACAAACCTACAATTGCAATGATTCATGTGAGGTCTCCTCACCAAAAAATTGTGTCAGTTTGATCAATTTCTTGTAGTCTCTAGACCTCCCCCCCCCCTTCAGAAACCTTTTCATAATTCTTAAATCACTCCTTATAGCATAGCCAAAAATAGTTAATTGTAGATGAACTAGCTGAAAATGTAAAAGATCTGGTTTTCTAATCCTTTTATCTGTGCAACCAAATATTGTACTAACAACTATGAATTCTGTTAGATCAGAGCTGGGAACTTTAGAACTTAACCCTATCCCTGCTGGGGTACTTGAAAACCAGGATATGCTGGGGGGGGGGTCAATTTGACCCCCTCTCTAAATCCCATGTTTTATGTCCAAATATGACAAATGATACATCATTAAAAAGCTCTTGTGCTCTACTTTTAGAATCTGCAAAAAAATTTACAAATTTGCAAAAATTGAATTTTTTTTAATTAATCTGAGCTCGGAACTTTAGAATGGTGGATATCGAGATCCTCTATTTTTCTTAATCTCGAGACTAACCTAATCTTTTACTTGTATCCTGAAAAGTGTATAAATTCAACCAATCAGAGTCGCGTATCAGAAGCCGGGAAATTTGAAATTTTGCGCGACATTTAAGATGAATATACTGAAACGGGAGAGACTCTCTAATTTAAACTGATTTTTCTATACTATATCCAATAAAAGTGGATTAAGCAAGAAGTTTAAATTGTCCACATTGTATATTCGGACAGTCGGGATTAAAGGTATCCCATTCTAAAGTTCCCAGCTCTGGAGATTAATAACAAGAGCAGACCAGCATTAAATAATCTGGAGATTAAGAAAAATAGTGGATCAAGCATTAATCCCGATATCCACCATTCAAAAAATCCCAGTTTAGATAACCTAAGTTATATCAAAGGTTTTTACCATCAGGTTGCGAAGATAAAGGGATTAGAAATCCTTTGTCATTGTTTTTTTTTAGATGAATCATGTAATAAATTTTAAATCTATTAAATCTATTAGTTAACAGTATGAAATAGACATTGAAGTATAAAAAAATCTTTGGATTTATTAAGTAAATACACGAGAAAAAAAATAAAAAGTGTGTTCGTTCAATTACATAAACACAATACAAATATATCAACATTTCCGGTCCATCTTTACAGAAAAATGATCAACAAAAGCTGAAAAACTTTCTCGAATTTTTCTGAATTATATTTTTGCCATGATATCTGCAGTAACATCCTCTGCGTTCCTGCTGGCATCAATCTAAATAGAAATATATTCAAATTTGACTGCTTGCTAACATTTAACCGAATAATGTAGGATGTATGTATTGGCATGGGGTCACGAACCTGACCCTACAGTAAAAGTAAATTCTACCTAAAGTCTGACTGCGTCAACCTTGTTGCACCGGCTAGTCCTATTGAGTGCCCAATCTCCGGGCGGTACAGTACAAACTGGGACCGGAAAAAGTTGACCTGGCTTGGAAATTCAAATGTACTACGGCTGCCGTGGGGTGCTACATATAACCCTAAAAGCATATTGGAGATGGATGCCGACCTTTACATTTTAATATAATGTTAACTTCTTTACTTCATATCCCTTGCAGCTGTTTTTGTCCAAATAATTCAGGAATTGATACCCCCTCAACTCCCCCCCTCCCGAATAGTATATTTAACATTATTTATAGAAGTAAGATTAGTAGCGATCAAAAGCGCTTTTTTTTATCGCATTAAGCCTATACCCCCTTTCATTTTCGCGAACACTCCCTTTAAACTAAAGTAAATCTTTATTCTTTTCCTTTGAAAATTAGACGGAGTTTTAGGAGTTTCAGAATTTAGCAATCTTTAAATATTTCCTATTAAAGTCTGGGTAGGTACCTTTCACGAGCAGCCGTAGCACATTTGAATTTCCGAGCCGGGTCAACCTTTCCGGTACAACTCAATAGGACTAGCCAGTGCAACAAGGTTGACGCGGTCAGACTATAGGTTGAATTTACTTTTACTAAAGAGTCAGAGATGCATGTTTTACATATCAAGCCATTGTTTCTATGCAGGGAATATGTGATGCTCAGTATTAATACCTAGATACTACTCGCATAAAGGTTTTTTACTTTATCTAATTTTACATAATATGAAATTTTTTTTATTTCGGGTAAAAATATATACATTAAGATATTTTTTGGTGTTTTTTTAAAGGAATTATTTTTAAAGCTAACAAACAAAAAAGTAAAATTTTGAATACAATAGACTAGATATTAAGCTGTGAAAAAAGTAATACTGACAGTATTCAACTAATGAGTAAAACTTGTTAAAAACAACGTAAAGAAAAGTAAAGTATAAACAATACATTTTAACCTATTAAACGTTAACAAAACTCATAAATAAAACCAAATATGTCAAATCTATAAAAATAGTTTGTGAGTTTCAAATCTTTGAAATTTTTTTGTAAGTTTAAAATCTATCAAAATGTTTTGTGAGTTTAAAATCTAAAAAATGTTTTGTGAGTTTAAAATCTATTAAAATGTTTTGTGAGTTTAAAATCTATCAAAATGTTTTGTGAGTTTAAAATCGATGAAAATGTTATGAAATGTATATTTACCTTGATTAATTTATCCTGGTATTTATCCAATACTGGTCGAGTCTGATTCTGTTAAAAAATATTTCAAAAAATGGCATTATAAAAGTTTAATGAAAACATTATATATACAGTGATAACCGCGCCGAAATCTCTAATAAAGATAGACGACTTTACAGCATTACTTAAGTGTATTTGATGTTGTTACAAAGTAAATAGTTATATATTAGACAATTAAATTAAATCCTTAATTAAGTTTGAAATGGGGTTGTGTACACTGCACAATTGCTTTGTCTCATGTCCATTAGACTATTTGAAATCATAACTTGAGTCTAAAAGTCGTCTTCCTATTTCAGAGTTTTCTGGTTAATACTGTACTACAGACGTAAATTTCAAGTAACCCTTCTTTGAAAAAAGCTTTATCTTAACGTAGAGTTAGAAATAATTTAGATACCATTTTTAATTTGATTATTTTAAATTTTGATTTCTTTAAAAAGTTACCTTTGATTCAAAAAAAATTTAAGAAATTGTCAAAACTAAAAAATTTTCCTTCCAGATAGATATTTAGATAGATAGATAGATAGATAGATAGATAGATAGATAGATAGATAGATAGATAGATAGAGTTAGTTGTTTATGAAACTGGAAAAATGTTGCAAACTCCAGATATATCGCATTCTCACAATGTCAAGTTACACTGTAGTTTATCTTACTGGGCAAAATGCAAAACAAAGCAAATAAGAATTTCATTTGTTGTTGCCATAGAGAATAGAATATATAGAGAGGAATTAAAAGAATCTCTCGGTATGATTTTTTTCAGTCCCTTTCAGCCTGAAAGGGAGTTGAAAGTGTACAAATCTTGTAAATGTTCACTAAATATATGCAATAGAGTACATTAATACAGTATGTTCCCTAGACTATCCATTTCAATTTCGAATTTTTTAAACTGTTAAATAAACTTTATAAAATGAATTAGGTGAATAAAAATCATCATTTGATTTATAGTTATAACGGAAAATCATCGTTTGTAAAGTGGAAGGCATAGAGTCTATGTGAAATGATCATTGGTCAATTATGAAACCAGCCTATTTCATAATTTGGGTTTCTTTTAACAATAATTTTAAATTTTCTATAAAATGATATTCCAGGGCCCAACAGGTAATATAGCATACATATGTGAAGTACACCTGCAGTATGGAAACAGTTCAAAAAAATGGCCGTTTTACACTTTTTTCCAGTAAATTCCTCTCTATATATTCTATTCTCTATGGTTGTTGCTCATTTTTAAGCTTAAAAGGAGTGACCGCGCCGGCAATAGTGGGGTGTTTATTCATTTCAAACCTGTAATGTGAAGAGTTGGTGGCAACGAGAACAGAATTATGTTCAAACGTGTTTATTTTGGTTTCATAACAAAGTGAAAAATCTCCGAAGTCCAAGTCCGAAACAAATTCTATTTTTTCTCTCTCGCTAATCGCTATTTTATACTGCAACGGAAAACCGTCTGTGTTTACATATTGTCAGTCATATTTTCATCTCTTACTCAAAATACGTTGAAAAAAATGCAAACTTCTTCATATTCTCTGATTTGTCATACTTAAAGAGTAAAAAAAGGTTAAATGTGAATTTAACAGGTGTTAAATGGGTTCCAACTGACCAGAACCCATATGAGTAAACCAGAACCCATAGTTAACCCATATTGTATCCATCTCATAAAACTAAGCTAGTGGGGTAGATCAGATAGGCCTATGATAGGCAGGGGGTACTGTAAAAAGTCAGGCCTATGATAGGCAGGGGGTACTGTAAATAGTGAGGCCTATGATAGGCAGGGGGTATTGTAAAAAGTCAGGCCGCGCCATTTAAGTTAAAACTGTGTCAACCAAGGCAAGGGTCGGGCGAGTACATGGCGCACACGTCCATATGGACAATACAAGGGGTCAAATCAACCATGTTGTCGGTCACTCCCTTTCAGATTTTTCCCCCAAACATGCCACTTCTGTTTGCAAAATGTAGAATAGAGGAATTTCTTGTGTTTTTGTCTGGGCAAGAAAAGGAAGTGGCTTGATTCAAATAAATGAATAAAATAAATAACTCAAATAAATGATTCAAATAAATGATTCAAAGTAATGATTCAAATATATGGTTCAAATAAATGAATCAAATTCAAAAAATTGTTTTCATAAATAAGAAAATCTATGAATTCCATTTGTTGAATTTTTTCCCCTGAAAGTTAGCACAACGCTTAATAATCGCCTCGGGAACATCGTCAAAGTTTCCTCGATTTGTCAATCGATCAATCATTACATCCTAGACACATAATTATTATTACTATTATTTTTATTATTATTATTATTATTATTATTATTATTATTATTAATATT